GTTCAATGTATATTACCGCAATGTGTGTGTAACAATACTATTACTACCAATCAATGAATTCCAAAGATATTTGAAGAAACGCGATTATTTTCCAGAAATATTAAGGTAGATCAGATGAAGTAAGATTTGATGTACAGTTTAACAATTTTGTAAACGGTAAATACATTATTATTTCAGGAATAATTAACATAGTCCGTAATTATAAAGTGAATACGAACTAATGAAATTTTCATGAAATAGTAGAAAACTATTATTTCCATAACAAAAACGAAAACGAAAGCAAAAATAACGGCCTAATAAAATAAAGGAAAATAAGAAACGTTCAAATCATGACATATTGTCGTGAGCATTTGATTTTATTTTTCCATATTTAATTGAAGTGCGTGCAGGACCGGCTAAGGCTACTGCAACACATGTTGCATCTGCTGCTTACGATCGTCAATTTTCGACGAACTTGAATCTTGCAGTTTTGGGCATCGGTAATATAGTACTTCAATGTGATTGCTTCAATGTGATTTTGACTAAGATGCGATTTTAACTACGATGAAAACAAGGTACTCATTCATATGCACTAGGGTATTGATTCAAAAACCACTACTTCAAAATTTTTAGTAGATTCATAAATATTTCGCACTGAAATATTACTGAATAAAAAATAAAATGGAATAAAAATTAAAGAAAATTCTGAAATCTTTTCCCTGCAAGTATCTATTTAAATGTTGAGCCAAGTTGGACATTCTGACACACGAAGTTTTCGTCAATACTTTTTCGAACTGAACATGGGAGGGGCGAAACGAGTCTTTGTGCGCAGCCTTAGAATTCTTTCTGCCGGCTATTTTTTTGTTGAAGACATTTATCATTTGAATCGGAAATAATCGGATAAGAAAGGCAAGGACCACGTTCCTCTGCGTGTGTGTGTTCCAACTGCTACCTCCTCGTATGCCTCAACCAAGGGGTCTCGTCCTTCGCCCCAAGAAGCAATTCGCGTACCTGCAGAGTGCTATAGACGCGAGGAGAACGACTGCTCTTGGGCAACGCACTAACACCCACATCACGATGCGCAGTGCAGAATTGCCGAGGCGCAGTGGCGCAAGGTATGCGAATTAATTTTGGGTGAGAGCTGACTTTGCCATTTCGGATTCGGTACCCTGTATCATCGTCTTAGCTGTTTCTGACTCTTTGGAATCATCGACGGCGACGGTGTAAGTGTTCAATTACCTCATGAACTTACGCCATCATGGTAAAGCAAAAGTCAATGCCCATCCAAATCAACAATTTAAATGGCCGCGAGATAGGGACGTCGCCGGTAGGCCTGAGCCCGTTCACGGGCTGTCGCGCCAAGTGCATGCATGCATACTTAATAGTAATATGTTAATACGTGTAAATTCCACCATGTTGTATTCCTTCAATCGCCACTGTGGCTGATTTCTTGGAGCGATAACACCTTTTATTATCAATAACAAACAATTGTTCTCCAGATTCCCATAGTCCTTCCGTCTCCTCCGACACCAATGTATCAGACAAATATCAATTCAAGTAATCTCTAGTCAAGTCTCTTTCCATCCACGCATATATTAGATTCTTAATGCGGTTCCAATAACACAAATATTTCTAAGGTGGAGACCTAATCTCGCCGGAGCCGGGGCGGGGGGGGGGGCGTGGCGCAGTCGCCTGCGAGCAACACTCCGCGCGCGTCCGAGCGCCGGGCCCGCCGCAGTGGGCAGCGCGGGGCGCGTCGAGATTAATTCGCGCAATGATTGGCACGTTGAATGGATCGGCGGCGCGCGGCGGCGCGAAAGCCCTTCGCAGAAAGCGTCGCCTTCACGCACTAAAATAACACCGCGGCGCGCCCTTCACCCGCGGTACTCGCAATCGCCGCTGCGATCGGGGCGGCGCTGCGGTCGGGCGGACGGTGAATCGAAGATAGGGCGCGGAGCCGGTAGTGGCGGTCGGAGGAAGGGTCGAGATGAGATGGGGGGGGAGGTTGGAAGTGTAGTAGGTGGTGTTAGGTTGGGGTCGGAGATAGGGGGCTCTGAGATCGGGGGCGGGGATGTCGGAGGTGGTAGTGTCGAAGAAGAGCTGCCAGAGGCGTCAGCGACGGTGAAGGTCATAGTGTTGGTGATTGTATTAGTGACTAATAGAAATAGTTATTAGAGGAATTCACGGAAACGTTAGGGGAGGAATGGCCAATAATTTGGTCGGCGCACAGCGGGCGCTAGTGTTGACTCGGACAATGGAGGCGGCTGTGCAGGAGGGATGATCAAAGGCTCGGGGACGCCGGGGCGATGGGGGAGCACTGATGGCGGGAAATAGAAAAAGTGAGTGACAGTAACAAAATGTGGAAGAGATGGCGATAGGTAGGGTGCACGGGTGGGAAGGAAAGCTAGAGAGCAGGCACGCGGGAGGAGAAGGAATATCCGAGGGGGAAACCCTTTCTGGGCGGCGAGTTGCTGGGAGTTGGCGAAATGCTGCGGCGAGTTGGCGAGACGTCGCGACGATGGGATCCGCGAGGGCGCAGGCGCAAGGGGATGGTAGAAGACACTGTGGGCGGAGGGGACGACAAATTTTTGGATTGAATATTGATTCCGGGCGCCTCAATAAATAAGGTCATTAGTCCCGTAAGTGTAATGCATGTTTCCCCCCTCGGGGGTGGCGATAATCTTTCTCCGCTGGATGGCGAGATCCAGCGCCGCCTACCGTCGGCTAGCGGGCTATTCCCTCAACTAGGTATCTCCCACCAGCGGGGCCCTGCCAGGAGGGGCCGAGGTTAGTGGAGACGGGGAGGGACGTGGTTGAGGGTCGCATGTAGGGGCGTCGGCAGGGCGGTCACCGCCGACGGTGGGTGTTCCAAAGTCTCGTCACTCATCGTTTGATTCTCACTTTAATTCACTCTTCATGACAGACTTCTCTGATGCGCTGACAAGTCCAGCTCATTAAAGGAAGAGAGCACATCTTGATACTTAAGTGTGAATGAATCTGAATGAATGAACGTTTCTTGCTATTCGTTTCTAAGCGCAAGATACGGTTTCATTTAATTTGAAGCCTGATTTCATTCAATTTATGCTTTTTAAAGCTTTACACTTACACATTTTTCTTCCGGGAACAAACTCGTGGAATCGTAGTAAATTAATTCAGTAAATAAAATTCGTTAATTCTTAGAAACACTCGTAAAAAGGGAATTTAAAACGTTTGCAAGAAAATATTAATGTCAGATAAATGTATAAACAAATATAATTAGCACAACTAAATCACTTAAAAGTCGGTTGATGTTTAAGAGCGGTTACTACAGAATCGGAATCCATATTTATCGCCAAGCGAGTACGAAATTTTCGATGCACATTTATACATTCGTGTAATTAAAAAATCTAAACGATTACTAAATATTTACACATCTTAAGTTAGTGTCAGTAGTTGTAATTTTCAATTTCATTTCCTAGAGTATTACTGATCGTTATTTTGAACTGTTCCAATGTTACGTAATGTGTACTAAACGTAAGTAGGGGTGATTGAATAGCCAATAGATAAATAAATCATCAACTATTTGTTAAGAATCCAAACCAATACGTCACTTTTTGATGCGTTCGTCGAATGGGGATTGATTAGAGATACATCAGCAGTGGAATTTAGATTTTTTCTCTGGTTTTCCAGTTACCCCACAAGAACTTTCTATTTACACATTTCCATTCATTCTATGATTTGGAATGTCTTCCTGTTAAGAATGTGCCGATAATGTAGAAGACCATTTTCAACAAAAATCATGGATATTTTCTTGGAAGTCAGACCGAAACTGATAAACGAACTGTAGTGTCACAAAATCCATTCAATCCTTCAGAACTGTCAAGATAATACTAATGAATTTACTATGTAACGATATCCTTGTTCTTGTACAAGGCCCGGTTGTAACGATACAAATTCTGATATATTATACCGTGAAGAAGAGAACATTCATTCACACTCCATTGGCATTTGACCGCAGTTTGTAAAGAAGAGACCATGCACACATATTCTTATTAATGAGCTGATAAAGAAAAGATTAAACAAATGTATATTTAGAAATAACAGTCAGAGGCACGGAAACATGTGCACATTTCCAAATATTAATCTCATTTAATTTTATTTAATGAAGTGTTACTCTTCCCGAGGCTTAATTTTGAACCTCATGCAATTTTAAATGTTCAAATGTATCCTAATTTCAACCTAGGTAACGTAATTAATGAAAGTATACATTCCTTACACTAAAGCCGAACAATGGGCATTTTACTATCACCCATTCTTGCTGGCTTCCTTTCGCAATCTCAGAGAGCAAGCGTACCCCTTCTCTGCCTGTGAAATATACTCGTAGGTCCATGCTAAGGATTGGAACAGTCGGGATCCCTCGTTCTCAGATGTCCTTGGTAGCATCGGATGAGAGAGGTCTATTTGCCGGTGGTTTGGGTGTTTTGATTAACAGGAGCGTCAGAAGATTACACAGAAAAAAAAACACATCCATTTTGGTGTAGTTTCGATTACTCAACTATGCGGATGTTTACAACGTGTTTTATGAGATCGAATTTTAATTCGGTTTTGTCGTAAAGCAAGCAGCACTATTTTGTACAAATAGTTGAGATAATGCCTGTATTGAAAGTGGAATAAATAATGCGGTTACGAGATTTAATAGAAACACTGCAACGATACACAGTGTCGAGAGATCTCGTGACTCTTCCCGCAATCGTTGTCGATCAACACCTTTACGGTCGCCATCGCGGAAGGTACAACTCAATAACAATAACAGGCCTAGTATCGATATAGCTCATTCTCGATAATGGCAATGCTGGAAGTAGAATTCTCGGTCTAGTGGCGTTTGCGCGCTGGTCAATGCGCCAAGAACGATCAGCACCGAGAGTCTGTGACTGGCGCAACTTTACATTTGGTTCACATGGTATACTTTTCAAAAAAAAAGGAAGAAATTATAATATTTATCCTAAAGATATCATTAATTAATGTTTTAATCACCAACTCACCACAATTCTTGAACGGATGGAGATTTGAAAACCCAGAAAGAGAAGATAACTCACCTGCAACAAATAAATATAGCACATAAGTATTTCTTCAACATTTAAACAGAACACATTGAGATTTTAGAATCCTAGAGCACAAACAATTTCTTGTGTTACCTCTTTGTAAGTATCTGTCCAGAGGATTTTCGTCTGTCCAGTATAGTAAAATAAACACCTGAAAACGTAATGATTCGGTAGATATTTCGTGAATAGAAAAAAACAGTTTTTTGTGCATTGCAATTCGCTACCAATTATGTAAAGAAGAGCACCGAGACGTTATCGAAAATTTAAAAATGTCAATTCTAGCTTACCCAGTTCCAAAGTTTTCAATTCGAGATTGTTAAGAAACATTGCCAATGCCCGCTGGTATGTTCGAAACGATGCGATTCACACTTAAAATGCTATTATTTGATTAAGAAATACACAATGTCTTATACAGAAACAAAATTTATATATAATTAAATAACTTATATATATATATATATATATAAACAAGATTTATCATTTTTTTGTTACCAGGGCTCGACAGTATTAGTTTTTCTTCCAAAAAATCGCCGTCAAGTTAAAATACTTTCTATTTACTATGTAAGTACGCAGTAAGGAGAGGAGGTTAATATGTTCAACAAATAGAACGTACTATAACTATAGCCATCAACAAATACTGCAGCCATCAATATGTTATATAATTGTTCGGAAAAAAATGTCTTAAAAGCATCAAGGCTCTGCATTTGCCTCGCAGAGTCTGAAGGACTGATGATTGAACGGGAGTCAACTGTTTTAATGGAGAGTTAGTGAGTATCTTCTGCAAATGTCGTTTTGTAAGTCAAATGTACTTCTTGGTGAAATGTGTGAACAGATTGTAAAGAAACGCATAAGTTAAAAATGTCCCCACCGGATTGTAATGCTCTGTCGCAGGCACACAGCCACGCCTCCGCATAAACAGCGCGCGCATTGCAGCGCCGGGGAATTGTTCGGCGGCCCAGACAGCAGGAAGTGGAGCAGAGGCAGGAATGCCGTTGCGTATTTCACGAGAAGGACCGCCCGCTTCGGCCCGGGCCTCTTGGGGCACGTGAAGAAGCACGTGACGTCGCTGTCAAGAGGCGAGCAGCGACGCAACGACTCCCGAGGCGCTCTCCCCCGCCACCACCCCTGCCCCGCCTCCGCATCCACCTCCACCACCTCCTCCGACGCCATCCCCGGCCACCGCTCCCACCTACGCTCGCTCCCGCCCCGCCTCCGTTCCGTCACCGCCCCGTCCTTCGCTCACGCCTCCGCTCCCGCGCCCGCCCTGACCCCATCTCCGCCTCCGTCTCCGCCCCATCCCCGTCCTCGCCCCGCCACCGCCCACGCCTCTGCTCCCGCGTACTTCTGCGCTCCCCCTCCTTTTCTGGCCACCATCTTCGGCCCCACCTCCTCCTCGGGCCATCGTCGCCGCTCGCTCTCCAGCGCGCCACGTGCTCTTGGCCCCACTGCGCCGCCTCGCTCCCGACCGCTGCCGAAAAGCGCTCTTCGCATTTTAACACGTCCGCGTCTTTTCCTTCGCACGATAATACTTGTGTATTATTCTCATAACTCTTTGTAATATCTCCAGCGGGGCGGAGGAGGGGGCGGGAGAGAGCACCTCGGGAGTCGTTGCTTCGCTTTTGGTTTTTATTATTTTCCCCTTTCTCTTTCCAATTTTTTAAGATAACTTTTGTTTGATTGTTCCCTTTTATTTTATTGTATATCTTAGTGAGACCGCCCCCATCCTGCAAACGTTATCATCCGGTCGTTGCAATTCGCGCGCGTGATGTGAAAGGTGTGATGTGAACCGTCGACGACTAACGTTCTCACCGGGACCTCATGCTAGCTCGTATAATGCAATGAATTTTAAACCTGAGAACATATCCTAGATTCCATGCAGTAAAGCTGCAGCCCTTTGCAAAAAAGCATTAGGGCTTGTGTATATCGTCCAAACACATTTCCTCACTCAGCTCCAACCTGCATTTGTTGCGCGTTCGAACTTAGGAAATGTGTTTGAACGACATACACAGTAGAGAAACGTCAACTGAAATCGCTCACACATTCATGACTCTCAAAGGGCGACTATGGTAAAGGACACACGTAAAACGCCTTTATCCGCACGGACTGAAAGCCCCCGAGTGCAGAGGAGTGGTGATGCGGGGGGGGCGGAGTTCTGCTCCGAAGCCCCGCGCGCCAGCGAGGAGAGCGTTCCTCCGCGAGCTACTGTTTAGCGGCGGCGGCGGCGGCGCACAATAGGCATTGTGCCCTCGGCGATCGGGAGCGCTATAAAGCTCGTAAGTAGGCGGTGCGGCTCCGGCGGCGAGGGCTGTCGACTGCCGATCTGTGCCAAGGTTCCCCGCGGGCTCCTCCTCGCATTACGCGGCGCGCGCACGACGTCTTTATCAGCAGTAAACAACGGCGAAGCCCGATCCGACGCGAAACAATGGAATGCGAAGCGCGGGGTGGCGAATGAGGTATGTGATGGAGTGCGCCTCCGCGCGTAGACGGCAAATAAATGCTACTCGTAATTCAGCGTTCAGCTATTTCGATGCGACATTCAAATGCGTGCTTGCGAAAGGAGCTGAGCAGAAAAAATAAAATGATGGAAGCCAAGTTACACCGCATATTGTTCTAAGTATGCAGTTGTAAAGAGTCCCAGCCTGATCAATATTTTTCATGAAAGTTTAACTATGATAACACATGTTACATGATTTATCAAATCTTCTTCAGAATACCTGATATAATAAAAATCATACATTTATTGTATTACATATCACTCTCGCAGACAGTAGTACCTATTACAAACTTTGATTATAAATATATGAGGGTTGAGGCACATGGAAAATATTTTCTAAGCAATGATATCGGGACACATAACGTTATTTCTCGCGTGAAAGAAATGATGAATTAATGTGTTTACACCAACAGAAAACTCTGTGAGTGTCTCTATTAGCCCAGAGTGCAATATGAAATCGGTTGTTTCACTGCCGCTGTGGCAAATGAATGTATCCCGCTTCAAGCGATGCTCATCAACCAAGATAGCTGTTCTCCATTGAATAACTTCCCGAGAATGTCTCATGGAATTGGCGGAATCTCTTTGTAATAATGTTCTTCCATAACAAACAGTCATGAGATGTGCAGGGGTGTTTCTGTGAAATCCCGTAACAACCAGTGATCTGTAACGCACGTAACGACCTATGTGGCACGCACGGTAATTGAGCATCTGCATAATTAGGCCTTTATAATGGATACTATGTTTTTGAAGGTTGTGAACTTGTTTATGCTCAAATTCTTTGGAAGATAAAATCAGCAGTCATTACAAACACCTTAATAAATATGATAAACACCATTTTGGTGTTTCGTTAAATATCCAAGCACATAATTCATACCTTGTCCTTTCATGTGTATATTTCATATTTTCCACTAGTGCTCGTATTCTCACAAAAAAGTGTTGCCAGAACTTATGCTCCTACCCTCGTATGTACCAAAATAAAGCAAAAAATATATAGAAGTTGTATTAAAAAATTTATAACAGGTCTGACATTTGTGCATTATTACCTTATTATGCATATTACCTTGCAGGTAATTGTGCAAATTTTAAGCACGTTTTTGATTTTCCGAACTATAAAATAATCTTCTCATACACTGCTTTCCTCAAGTATAGATAGAAAACATGAAGTAGAAAATCTGAAACTTTATGATAAGGCATAACGGTTGTCATCCCTACCAAATGCTTAAGCTCACAATCTGAACGCAGCAGTGCGCTGAGAATTAAGAGAGATAGTCAGAGTAGTAAATATGTCGTTCCATGCGAGTTCTCGATGTTTTACGCTCGTACGTTAGAGGCTATCCTTCAAAGAGAAAGCAGCTGCTGAATCCAACACATGAAAGCTGCTACGTGTATTCATACATCTGTTTATAATATGTTAGTTACGAGGTTTCGTGAAATAGTGTTTCCAGACAGTCATCCTGAGAAGTTGTACAAAATATGTAAAAGAAAACAGACTCTCTGAAAGCTGGATTACTTGTGAATGAGGGAAATTTTCACTCTCGTGAATTACTGAGAGCCAAACATATTAATTCCTATTTTTATTGGATGTATTAAAGATGTCTGCAAGCATTAAGTATCAGGAGGCTACACAAAACCAAAAGGGAATTTTACGTGACATTATGACTTGACTATTTGTTGTGGTTCTTCAACATATTTAAGAGGCACACAATCTGATCTTTCTTACGCGCCAAGCAATATGTTTTCTGATTTATTTCATTATAATTGGGAGGGGTAATCCCAAATATACTGGATCCACATCTCAAACACTTCACTATTATATTTTCCATCAGATATTTACCAAACAATTCTAAACAAGGGTTTACAGGCTTCAATATTTGCAGTTATCACGTTGCTTTGTTCACATCGTTAATGCTGGTGATTAATATCTCGACCAGGCTTGATACAATTATTTTGCAGAATAACTATTCAGTGCCAGAGTCTTAAATATAATTACCTACTCCTGTTTTCGGCATCTCTGCCGAGGAGCGACAATATTCTGTAACTCACCTAAACAGCACNNNTTTTTTTTTTTTTTTTTTTTTTTTTTTTTTTTTGATATTTCACTGTAAGACCCACCGACTGAGTAGCCAGATTTGCCGCTGTCTGCGCAGCGACTCTGACTGGGAGGTCCTAGGGTTCCATCCCAGAAGGTCGCGGATTTTCGAAACTGGCTAAATAGCTTGTGCCAATTCTGCGTCTGTCTGAAAGAGAATTCTAGCGGCCGGCTACTCTGATCGGTAGTTTTCCTTGGTTTCACCGATCAATATCAGATGAATTCTGGGGGAGTACTCTAACAAACGGGCCACGAACAGTGCAATCTTTCCTTTCTCTTCCTTCATTATATCATCATGCCTTCCACATATTTACACTATATGCAGTATACACATGCAGAGAGACCAGTCGGGAGCTTAGAGCTTGTCCCGGCTAGGATGGAGCCCCACTGAGGGAGGTATCTGGATGTATAAGTTCCCCGCAAGCCAACAAATAGGTCGGCGCCAGTTCTCACCATCCAGTGCCGGAGGAACACCGCCATTCCCCACGACAAAAACATTTTAAACACCAACAGGACAGATGACCGTAGCAGTTGGCTGTACGGAAACAACCAATCTATCACAGTAAGATTCAAAATCGGGACGGTTGCTGAGAAGCACCTGCGTTTCTCGACCAGTCATTCAGGCAGCGGTAAGGCCACCGAGCACCCACGTGATCAATGGATGTTCGTATCCTGGGTTTGATCCATTAATCAGTGATTCCGGGCGACTCAACTGCTAAGGACGTTATTCCCGTAAGTGTACTG